TGGATGAAGAGCGTTTTCTCACCATGGTGGAGTTTGTGGCCTCGTCTCCAGCACACACTAGCGTGGCTCCCTCTCCGGCCGGACGCTTGAACACGGCGTTCTTGGTGAGTAGCTTGCAGGAGGATCCAGCGGTGAAGGTCTGGACTGGAGAGCAGGAGCAGACGGGCGGCTGTCTGCTGTCTGTCTGAGGCGTCCGGCTGAGCTCCATTAAAACACAACGCAGTGACGGGTTTGCACGACCTGGACGACACAAAACAGACATGAATGTCACTGCCATTAAAAAAAGAACAAAGATGCAACAAATCAAAAGTCCAAGACATACAATCAAATATAGATGACCTTAAATTAAAATAGGAATGTGCATTATATTGAAACTGAACAATATTAGTGATTAAAAAAAAATAAAAAATCTGATTAAACACCTGAAAGCAAATGATATTAGTGACTTTTATGAGTATACTAGCATCGAGCCACTATTATTGTTTTATTTGTACGTATCTGTTTAAAGTCACAATGAAACTGAATTAGCGACATCTTTTCTTCTGAATTGTGACGAACATTCAAGTGGAATGAATTAAAAAGTGCAATAAGAAAAAAAAAAAAAAAAAGTTCACCAGAAGTTTGAGTTTGATTAAACATTATGAGGTCAAGTCAATAAATGAATGAATGACTGAAATGAAACATGCATGGATGAATAGTTCACAGTAAGATCCATAACATGCATTTACAAAATAGATTGGTGAATTTTCTCTTCATGTTGACTTTAAATCTGATTAGACTAATATTGGAAGCTAATAATATCAGTATATGAATTAGACAACATTAGCGTTTTTCTAATAAAATTAGATTTTTTATTAATATTTTTTTAATTATAGGGTCAATGACAAAAGTGTCAAAAAAAGATTTTCCTGCATTTAAATCACTGTATGTATAAATTGCATTTTATGTGTTTTTAGATAAATCATATATATATAAAAAAAAAAAAAAAACAGTAGATCCACACTTAAAGCTAATAATGTCAAAGCTTATATGTAGGGGTGCTCCGATCAGGATTTTTGAGGCTGATCACAGAAAGCAGTATCTGCCGATACCGATCTTT